TTGGCCACTGAGCACATGTGGCTAGAAATTAATTTGTTTATATAACATGTGTGGCTTTCATCTACTGAACTGAACCACACAGTTCTAGAAAATAAGAATGAACATGCCAAAAAAACAAGCAATTCATTAATTATGATGGTAATTTGCCACCCACCAACAAGAAGAAAATAATTCTAGGTAAATGTGTCATTAAAGAATAAAGGAAAGAAATGTATAACCCCCACCAACATGTCACCAAACTAAGCCCATCTCTTGAATATCTGTTCACTCTTCATGATTCATGTACATACAACTTCAACTACACTACCACAGTACTTTGCACATCTGTAGACTAGAACCAACTATATTATATGATTTGTGTTTTTCTCCCCCACTGGACTGTGAGCATATTAAGAGCAGAGTTAGTTCTTATCCACATATATATATATATATATATATATATATATATATATATATATATATCACTAGCACCTACCAACTACACCCAAAGGCTTTCTACAACAATAGACATCTTTTCATTCAGTTACAATGGGAAAAATAAATCATCTTTGGTCCTTTAGTACACAAGAGCATGCTCAAAAAGCTTACGGTTAGGGTGAAGGGTACAAGATGGAGGTATATGAAGAGGACTAACCAGTAAGTCTATACAAACAGAGCTTTGAAACATGAACTATCAGGCATCATAATGGTGAGGGAAAATGGAAAGTGTTTTAAGAAAAAAGCTGTCATTATCCCATTCTCTAAGATCACTTACTGTATTCCCCCATTACTCGGAAAAGCCTAATGGAGTAGGTGGTTAAAAAAAAGACAGGCCTTAGAAATTTATCCTGGCTTCACTACACTATCAATGTCAGGGTCTCAAGAGTTCTTCTTCTACCACTAAACTAAATCTTAGAAAAAAATCCTTATGGTCCAAAGTTTCCATGAAAATTTCACAGCATAAAAAAGTGGTATAGTTTTCTATTTAAATCCTGATTATCTATCATTCTCTTTTAGGTCTTTGAAATGTACTAACTGGAATTACTCTGCACAGTACAATCTCATGGTTGGTAGACAGGCAGTATTTGGGGCTAACTATATTAAAATTTGAAGAACTACTTGAGTCTGATTTCATTTAATAGATATTTTCTGTTTCCCCTAAAAATCAGTTAGGTGGGGAAAGCACTAATATGAGGAATCTACAAATCCAGACCCCCCCAAGCACTGTATGTTACTTAAGGCATAAGAACCGGAAAACTAGAAGATCAGAGAAGAGTTATGCATTATAACTTCTTTAGGAAGGATAAAAAAATTTGCCAATCAATTCTCCATCTTTACCAGTTCACCGATTATTCATGACAAAGGTCAGAGAAAAGCTGTGAAATTCTCCTACTAGACTGAATGGCCTTGAGCCAGTTAATTACTTAACTTCTTTGAGCCTGCTTCCTCAAATTTAAGAGTGAGAAGAGTGAGATTAGATGCCTGGGGGTGAGGGGATTAACTAACGTAATTACTTACAGATTGACTTCAGCAAGGTTTTGGTTCAATCCTAATTTATCTATAAACTGGAAAAATATAAAACTGAAATGGTTATTAAAATACGACCTAAACCCTTGAGATTTCATGATGGATTTGGTGCTTTGTTTTTACTAGAATGATGGCCTAAGTGATGGTATGTGGCTTCCTCTTTGCTCTTGCTTAGATCATTCACTGTAGGGAAGCCAACTTCCACCATGTTGTGAGGACACTCAAGTAATACAATACAATACAATGGAGAACTGAGACTTGCCATGAGCCAGTGATGACTTGCCAGAAAGAGTGAGCCACCTTGGAAGCAGATCCTGCAGCCCCAGTCAACATCTTAACTGCAACAGCATAAAAGACACCTTAAGACAGAGTCGCCCCATTTTGCTACTCCCAGATTCCTCACTATGTGAGAAAAACATGTTTATAGTTTTAAGCCACTAAGTTTGGGACTCATTTATAACAGCTGAAGAACTAATACACCAGTATTTTTCAGACTGTGGACCCTGACCCATTTGCAGTTGATGAAATAAATTTAAGACTGTCCTATCAACTTTTTTAAAAATGAAATAGTTAAAAGATTAAAACATTGTACACATAAGTACTATTTCCTAAAATTTCATTTCAGTTTTACATATGTATGTAGTAGGTACCAACTGAAAATGTTTCTTAGAATTACAGTTGAAAATATAATATACCTACAGGTCTACACCATTAAAACAAAAAGCTCCCTAAAACACAGGGAATTCCTTGAGGGAATATGATCTCAATAACAACCAACTATAAAACAAGCATTTTCTATAAAATTTTATGACTAAACCAATGAAACATTAAGAGTCTCTCAAAATACATCTTTCCTGATTCATATGTTACAGTTTGCTATAAATCAGAAGGCATGGTATCTGCCCTAGACTTCAAAGTCTAACATGTAAAAACATGTCATTTTCCTAATTTAAGAAGTTACTCGACAGGACATCCTTCATAAAATTTAGTAAAAAGGCTGTTTTGAGCTTTAACCACATTTATCATTTCTTCCTCCAATTACTTTTCTTATCAACGTTAAAGGAAATTATATTTTCAACCTGAGCACACACTCACAAATTTTCTCCAAAACCAAGAAAAAATACAAGGTTAAGTTCAGAAATATTAAATTGTTTTCTGCCCTCTGTCAAAGTCACACAGGAACTCTCTTCCTCACAAGCAAATATCTATTTTTATGGTTATGTCTCAGAACAAAAATCAAAACTTTTAGTAACACAAGACTTCGCAAAATATTTACTCATAACTTGATGAGTCCACTCAGATTATACATATGTGCAGTGGTTTTCTTTGATGTAAAATGTGTTAACAATTTTTGAACTCCTTATATGCCAGATTTATTTTCAAAATTGAAAATCAGTAAACACTAAAAGTGACTTATTTTTCTTATCACTTAACTCAGAGCATTTGTGGCTCTCCCAATAACCAGACTTTTTAGTAAATCTACATCTAATGTTGGAGAAAGCAGATACAGTCTGGCTCTCCTTATAATGCTACCGAATGATGCTGACAATTATCAAAATAGCCTGCATACTTGGCAAAAGTCAAGTGTGCCTGCCTATGCCTTGAGAATTAGCAGCTAAGTGGCCTAGTTATATATTCAAAAGCAGCAGCTCTTGAAAAGAGTAGGATGCTCTGGACAGCACATTCCTTAGGAATGTTTTAGGGGTTAACCCTAGGCTTATTTCTATAAACCTATACAGATTGTAGGAGTGGGAAACTGTTCACTCACCTTAAGAATAAGCATAGTTACCTTGACCCAAGGCCAGTTCTCTAACACCTAGGTTAAGTTTCAGCCTAATGACTTCAATCTAAAACTTCCGTGTTATTTTTTTGTACACTTTTTCTTATAAAATCAGTTCACTCTTCACATAAGTACTCCATTAGCACAACTTTGAAGATTTCAAAGTCAAGGTCCAAATAATTAGGAGCTTAAACACACTTGAACTGTAGGGCCACTTCAAGGAATGTAGCATGCCAATCTGAAGACCAACTTTGATGTTTTAGTGACAGTGCACCAGAATACTTTAATCAGGATCAGAATTTGGTGCTGGAGGCAGACATTTAACTAGCAGATTAAACAATAAGAAAGTTCAAGGCAGGTAAATGCTGTATCTATTATTCACTTTGGGCCACTAAGGTTAAAAAGCTGCTTATTCTGTCTTCAAGAAGCAATCAGTCATCAGTAGTTGCAGAAACAACTGAATACTAAATCAAACTCAAGATTTTTAAGAGGGACATTCTGTACATTAAATTGTCTTCAGATAGTAAGCTTGCCTTACACGTTTTAACTCCGTGCCAGCCACTGTGCCAGGGTCTGGATGTACAAACCAAAACAAGTTAGACATCAAGATGCTTAATAAACAGGTTAGCATGCTTTAAAACCGAGTAACCGGGAACTGCTGCCTCCATTTCCTTAAGAACCTTATCCTTAAGTCTTCAGAATCCTAGATATGTAAAACAAATCATAAAACTCCAGTCTTCAAAGGACTCAACTGTACTTTAAAATTAAAAAATATAAATACCAGAAAAATGGCAAAAAATAAATTTGATGACCATCAGGTATTCCAATTCCCCTGACATGTTACCATGTTTCCAGTATCTCCCTATATAAGACTTACCCGACCTCAAAATCTGAGGCAACTATGAAATCCATTCTACCAGCACCTCAAAAGACCAAAACTTAACAGGAAAGTCAATACTTCTTAAACCACATGCTCTGCAGGCTTTGATTTTCTTGGACCCAAAGTTGAACAACTCAAACCCAATTTCTGAAATAACCATCACATTCAATCCTAACAGAAAGCTTACACCATATTCAACTCGTCTGAGGAAGCACCTCTACCCTCCATCACAACACTTCAATATGACTTTTCAATTACCACTAATGACAAGAAAGATACTAGTAATTTACAACAGTTCTTCGATTCTACATGTCTTAAAAGATGAAAATTTAAGCTAATACAGGATGTCAAGAACAAAGGTACAAGCCGAGAGATGTCAAGCAGAAGCTGGAGAGAAGTATCCGAGCAGCTCTCATCTGTTCCCCGAGCGTCTCGAGGATGTGTCCTACCAAAACACTTTATGTAAACAGGGGGCTTGTAACTCAAGCCTCCAGCCCCAATAGGTGCAGAGAAGTTTCCTCGCCTCGGCTGCACATGGCTCCCAGAAGTTTGGCTGGAGCAGAGAGCCGAGCCTGGGTGGGAGCGGCAGTGTAGTTAGTGCTGCAGGCGGCGGCGGCGGCGGCAGAGCAGCAGGAGGCGGAGGCGGAGGCGGGCGGGGGGAGGGGAGCGGCTGGGGGGGCGGAGGGGGCTCTTGCCGCCACTGCTCTCTCGCCGCCTCTCCCCCCCGGCGGGAGCCGCTCTCAGCCTCTTTGCACTAGTCGCTCCGCTCTCTCGGTCATGTGACCTTAACGTAACCGGACAGGAAAAGCCCCGCCGCCGCCGCCGCCGCCGCGCCGGAGACACCGACCGCGGCGGCAGCAGCAGCAGCAGCAGCAGCAGCGAGGAGAGGCGGCGGCGGGGAGGAAGGCACGGCCAAAGCTGCCCAGCGCTTCCTCCTCCACACCCCCCGCCGAAGCAGCACCGGCGACAGGTAAGCGCGCACCGCCTCCGCCTCCCGGGGCCGGTGCCCACGTGCCGCCCCCGGCCCGGGCTCCGGGAAGGCGGAGGGGGGGCGGGGGCCACCGGAGCTCGCAAACGGTTCCGGCAGCGGCGGTGGCAACAAAGACGACGAATGACCCCCGTCCCGAGGCTCCGGGTGAAGGCAGGCGGAGGGCCCGGACCACACGGGACCCGGTTCTGGGAAGCGAGGGCAGGGGCGGCCCGTGGGGGCGGTGGCGGCTGCGCCTGGCGCCGGGGCTCTGGCCGCCTGACAAAACCATCCCCCGGAGCCAGGCGGCGGCGAGTCGGCGGCGGCTCCATCCGGGGCTTTGCGGGAGGGGGAGGGGACGGAAGCCGAGAGGGCGGGCGGCGGATCGGAGGGAGGGAGGGAGGAAGGGGAGGGGGGCGATTCGCGTTCCGTTCTCCGTCGCCGGTCCCTCCCTTCCCGCCGCCACCGCGAAGTACGTCCCGAGCGGCGGCGGCTGGTGAGCGTCCCGCGCTGGAGCCCCAAGAGGCGGGCCCGTCAGGTGCGTAATCCTCTCGACGCCCCGCAGCCGCCTCCTGCTGCTGCCGCCGCTGCTGCTTCGGCGGCAAGGCCGCGAGCTGCGGAAGTGGGTTTGGGGGAGGGGAGCAGAGAGGGAGGGGGAGGGGAGGGATCCGGTCCGACCGGAGCAGGCCCGGCCTCTCTGGCGCTTCTCCCAGCTGCAGCGGCTCCTACAGCTGCTGCCGCTACTGCTGCGGCTCCGCCTCCCCGCTCGCGGGCGGGGGCGCGCACGCGCGCTTCCGGCCTCTTCGGGTCTCGCGCTGTCTGCGGCTCTCGCGCGCGCTCATCTCCTCTCCCTAGCTGGGCCGCCCCCGCCCCCGGCGCCGGGGCTGTTGCGCCGGCCGGGGCGTTGCGCACGGCGTAGGCGTCGGCATTGTGTTAAACTCCGCGGGACTTGGAGAGAACGAGCGCGCGCGCGCACGCGGGCTGAGGGAAGGGCGAGCGTGCGGCGCGGCCGAAGTGCGTCGCCCCTCCCTTCCCCTTCCCTGCGCCCCCGGGGGCTGGGGGCGGGGCCGGTGAGACCGGAGGGGCCCGGGGACCCCGCGCGGCGCGCCCCGGCTCCGCCCCCGCCCAGCCCCCGCCCCAAGGGCTCGGGGTTGGGTGGGGCCCGCAGCCGTTGGGCGGCTCTGGGCTGCCTAGCGCGTTGGTCTCCGTGGTCGCTGCCCGGGTCGCCCGCTGAGGCTGGAGCGGGTATTGAGCGCGCGGAGCCTGCGGCCTTGAGCTTCCTCTATACGGGCGCGGACGCCTTAAGGCCGCGCTGCCGGATCGGAGCTGCGGTTGCCGCCTCGCCTCGGCACAGCCCGCCGGGCTCCGGGAAGGGGAGGTTGCGGCGCGAGGCCGGTCTGGGGCTCGAGTCGTCTTCCGGGTGCAGCGAGACCCCCTAACCATTAATTTTTAAACAAAACCGCAGTGAGAACCGTTAAGTCAGAAGCTGCGTAGGAAGCAAGGTTTTTGTCGGCCTCAGCTGATGGTGAATTAAAGAGGCAGTAAAGGGAAAAGCGAGGAAGGGTAGTCGAATGGGCAGTGTGAGAGTGGTTACTGCTGCACCATTTACAGCACGAACTTCCACCCGCCGCTGGAACTCCTAATTGTGCCCCAGGGAAATAACCCGAGCTCTTTACTTCCCCCACCCATTTGCATTGTTCATTTGTTCTATCATCATCATGCAATGGGTCTGCGTGGTGTGTGAGTGAGCCTGGATGCTCTTCGTTTTCACAAGTTGTTGTAATACAATAAGGCAAAAAGAAGGCCGGGATTTCAGGCTCACAGAACTCCAGGACGTCTGGTTTTGCTTAACAGAGGACTTCCAGGCCGTCCGTACAGACCCTGACGGCCCAATGGTGTACTGAGCACTAACATTTGAGTCTGCAACCTGAAACTGTATTATAAACGAGAGCATAAGCCGAAAATAACAGATGGGGGGGGCATTCCTAATAACTTTGGTATGTAACCAGATGTTTGTAAACTGTTAAAAGGCAATTTTTAAGAAGTAATTGTATCACTAATATTGCTTTCTTTTAAACTGATCATTTCTCGTTTAATAAACGTGAAATTTATGTTCATTTTCTAGCCAAAAAATTGGCCTGCAATTAAAACCTTTATAATATCTAAAAATACAAGAAGTGATACACCCGTGGTATTAAATGCCACCAAAAGTCAACAGTGGAGGAGCTTATGGAAATATAAACCACACATAAAGTGTTATACTACAGTCCATATTCGTATTTGCCAGTTTTAAAGCTTTTCAAAAAAGACGTAAATAGGTTGGTGCAAACTTTTTCCAGCAGCAGAGTATAAACACTAGACAAGTTTTAAGTCACAGAATAAAAACTTCCAGTGACAACTTCTTTTAAAAAAAAAAAAAGGGACTAATATAAGCTTTGCACTAACTTCCAAATTTTGCAGTATTGTAAGATCACATAATATAAAAATTTACTTACCACCACACCCCGGAAGGAGATGCCTCTTGTAACCCTGTGATTTCAAGTTATCTGCTACTTGTCCTTGAATACCAGGATGTGCTTTCCCCGGTTTGAGAATTACCAGGCCCAGTGAAGAAAATACCTAAGACCTAAGTGTGGCATCTGCTTGGGACCAACTTCTTTAGGGTAGGGGATCCACCTGCTATCTCTCAGTGTCTCTTGATGCTTCATCCAAAGAACCACTCCTCTTTCCATCCCTTTCCCTGTTGAAACTTTGAAAAGCTGGTCAAGTAGTGTGCATCAGGCACAAGAAAGATTGGAAGAGCTGCTGATGTCCTACAGATTTTTATAATAAACTTCAAAATGCATCTGGCAAAAAGGCAAGGCAGTTTTCCTATTTCCTTGAGTTTTTTGGGTCTCCGAACACAATCCTGAAAATATAAAAGGGAATTGAATTTATTTTCTGATGGGAAAATTATTGTGAACATTCTAAACATTAGATTGAGAACATTTTTAAGAGCTTTATTATGCTCAATAAGTTTATAATTTTCATTGGCTCATCCCAGCAGCTCTAGAGACTGAGGCAGGAGGAATGTGAGTTCAAAGCCAGCCTCAGCAACTTAGCAAGACCCTGTCTCTAAATAAAATAATTTTAAAAGGCTGGGGATATGGCTCAGTGGTTGAGCACTCCTGGGTTCAATCCCTCGTACCAATTAAAAAAAAGTGGAATCAGAGCCCCGCATGGTGATAACACGCTGTCATCCTAGCTACTGGGGAGGCTGAGATGGGCCAGTCTGAGCAACTTGGTAAGACCCCATCGCAAAACAAAACAAAAAATTCAGGGTGTACCTCCATGGTAGAGACCTTACCTAGCATGCAATAGACCCTGGGTTCAGCCTAGATACCACACAAAACAATGATTGACAATCCAAGACATGTAGGACCATTCTTGCATGGTAGAGACCAAGTTCGAGGTTGATGTTTATACCCAAACATACAATCCCCAGTTCACATGCATGAGGTATGTACCATGAGACTTTTGTTCTCATTACAAGAAAGCTCACCATGTAAAGATAGGAATTTGTAAAGCACTTATAGATATGTGGACAAATATTTTTGGAACTACTTTTCACTTTGCAAAAGGTTTCAGTGTACCTCTTGCAAAGTGAAAAATTCCTTAAAATTGTGTGCATCATCTAAATTCAGCACAGAAGGAAGATGAATAATCATCTGAAAACAATTTCAAAGTGAGCATGCATTCTCCTGGGCCAGGCTGGTCATTTAGATTCTCCAAGTCCCCAAAATGATTTTGTAAAGTGGTTGTCAAAAAGTGTGGCATTACAGATCCTTGTGAATCCCTAGGGTCCTGTCAAGAGTCTTTGAGATCAAACTGTTTTCATAATAATACCAAGATATTATTGTCCTTTCAATGTGTTGACATTGGGAAAATATGCATAATTCAGTGAGCCAGTATTTTCCAAATAACCGGTGAATTATGTTAAATATCATGCGTGGGAAAAATTCCATTCAAAGTGCATATACCAATGAATTTTAGCAAAACAAAGAAGGAAAAGTTCAGTCATTGCTACCGTTCTAGATTGCACAACTAGCCTTTAAAAAGCTAACACTTATCCCAAGTTTTGGTGTAATATCAAAGAAAAATATTCAGAATTACCTGGTATTTTGGCTATTAAAATAAAGAGAATTGAAAAAATATTTAAAAAGCCACTTCACTCTTTTATATTGTTTCTGAAAATACAGTTATTTTCATTAAAACATGTTATTCATTAACGTGTAGTGGGGTTTTTTTTAATCAAATCCTTGTAAAGTTCTAAGTTTTATATTTTCTAAAGGTAAATATCACTAGTTGTAATCTACATAAATTTACAAAATTTTGTTTGTTTGTTTGTTTTGGTACTGGGCATGAATCCAGTACCTTAAGCATGCTAGGCAAATGTTCTACCACTAAACTATGTCAACAGCCTTTTTTAAAATTTTATTTTGAGATAGGACCTCACTGAGTTGCCCAGGCTAGCTCTGAACTTTACAATCTTTCTGCCTCAGCCTCCCGAGTAGCTATAATTAAATGTCTTTAATAATTTTAAAGAGCATAAAGGGGTCCTAACACCAAAAAGTTGAGAAACTCTTTTAAAATAGGGCTTGTGGCTCAGATATAGAGTGCTCACCTAGCATGCGTGAGGCACTGGGTTCGGTCCACAGCACCACATTAAAAAAAAATAAAGATATTCATCCACCTATAACTAAAAAATAAACATTTTTTAAAAATACAGAAATATACTTTTCAAGTCAGACCTCAGTTAAACACACTTGCTACTAGACCTGTAAGTGATTATGTTTTCTTCAGACTAATTTTATTAATCATCATATGGCACATAAAAAAGGAAGCCTCTACTTTGGTTAGTAGAAGCAGATTAGGGTTCTTAATTTTGCTAGGGGTGATCATATGTAGGTTTCTTTGAAGTTAATTGTAGCATAATTTCTTTAGAATTATCACTTTAATATCGA